TGCCCTCCATTTAGACTTCCCTGCCATGTGCCTTTCTTTGGAAGCTCTCCTGCACATGGGCCCTCGGATTTTGAAAGATGCGGGGTGCGTGGCGCCTCCAATCATCCCATCAGGGGGCCTTGTTGCAGGAGCCAGGCGAGCGCCAGATTTCGCCAAGTGTCAGATGTTTTCGATTTGTGAAATGTCGGTCGATTCGAGTTCGCTGGTACAGTTGCGGACTTGGATTGACGACGTCACCCAGAGAGCGGAGGGGATTCGCCGCGATGTTGTGGCTCACCTCGCGCGTGCGGGAATCACCTTTGCTCGAGGGTGTGCTCAGGAAGGACTCAAGCTGGCTTCTAAATCCACCATCATTGTTTCTGATCTAGCTGTTGCTCGAGAGATCCAGGCCGGCTTAGGTGCGCAGGGAATCGTCGTCGAAGTCGCGTCGGTCGCCGCCGATTTGGGCATAGAGCGCGGGAGTGGAGCGAAGATTTCCAAGCCTCGCCACACCAGGCGCATTGCCCAGGCGCATCGGCGTGTGAATCGCATCAATAAGCTGGCCCGAGTTGCCCCGCGTAAGGTGGGGCCTAAGCTTGTTCTCACGGGAGCCCTCCCCCAAGCCTCGTATGCTTGGAAAGTTTTCGGTGCGGCCCCCTCGGTGCTCTTGCAGTGGCGGCGGGCCCTGGCGAGCACCCTTGCGCGAGGGAATGTAGGTAGGTGCCTCACTTCGATTTTGGCTTTGGAGGTGGGCCCCAAGGATCCCGCTTTCAGCTCGGTTTTTTCGCTCCTGGACTCCTGGTTTCAAATCGTGTCCAGGGTTTCGGAGCGGGCCCTCCCTCGTATGCACAGCTGCTGGAGGGACACGGTTCAAAGAATTCGGGACCTGGGGCCACGGCGTCGGTGGCACAACATTCGTGGGCCTATTTCGGCCATCGTCGCCACGATGCTGGGTCTCGGGTGGCAGTTGGATGGGCCTTGGCACTGGACTGCTCCGTCGGGTGAAGAGTACGCCCTTCCTGATGAGCTCCGAACTGAGGCATATATGACATCCGATTTCAAACAATCTGTAGCGAATTCAATCGACGCCCAGTTGTGGGCTGGCGCCTCCAAGTTCCGCAACGGGGGTGGCTCGGAGTCAGGCATCGATTTCACTGTTGCGCGTCGTCATCTTGCTTGCCTGCGCAAAAAAAATGTCAAGCAGGCCGGCCTGCTCAGAGCAATTCTCACAGGCGCTGTTTGGACTCGCTCTCGCATTGTCAGTGCAGGAGGCGATTGTTCTGAAGTTTGTCCCAGATGCGGTCTCAGTCCCGAGACCGATATTCACAGATTTTGGGAATGTCCGTGTAACTCAGAGTTCCAGGAAATCTCTGAGGCCTTCGCCAGACGAGGGGTTACAGCGGCCGAGGAGTGTCCTGTGCTCTGGCTCCGCGGCCTCACACCCAAATCCTGGACTCACGTTCCCCCTCCTCCCGATTCGCCTCTCTCTGCGGCGTCAGGTGCCTTTCCCCAAGTGGAGGGGCGTCGCATCTGGGGTGCGGGGGACGCTAGTGGGGGGGAGTTCTCGCGGGACCGTAGGCTCAGGAGGGTGTCTTGGGGCGTCGCGGTTTTTGGGCTGAGTTTAGAAGAGCTCCCCCAGGCGAATGCCGCGTCCAGCCTGGCCTTTCTTGCGGGGGGCGGCATTACTGGTAGGCAAAGTGTCAATCGGGGGGAGCTCTGGGCCCTTCTTAAGTTTTTGGAGCAGAGCCCTGTAGGTGCCCAGCTCGGGTATATTGCTGATTCTGCCTACGTGTCCAGAGGGGTTGCTCGGATCGCTGTTGGTCTGGGAGCCCGCGCCTCGAGCCACCGCGATTTGTGGGCCCGTGTGCAGGAGCTGCTTCGCGTTAGGGATTTGTACCTTGTCCGTGTGCCCAGCCACTTGTCTGTCCAGGAGGCTGGTGAGAGAGGTCCCAACCCTAGTTTTGTGTTGGCTAACGCCATTGCCGACCACATTGCGGGTGAATGTGAAAAGGAAGTCAGAGTGCCATTTGCTGTGAGTACGGCTGTTCGGATGGCCGACGCTGTCACGCGTAAGGTTCAGAACCACCTTCTCAGTGTTATGAATGATGTGATGGATAAGGAGGGCAAGAGGCCCCCTCGCCCGCCTAAGATTCGTGTGCGCAACACTCGCTCGAAGTTGCTCAGAACTGCTGCGGTGAATTCAGCTCATAGTTGCCCGCAGATCGCGGGGCATTTCGGTCAGTGCCGTAAGTGTGGGTGCCGTGCCAAAGCCAGCGAGCTGACGGCCTTCCTCGGGACCCCCTGCCACCCGATGTCCTGGACGGGGGCGGTGTTTCGGCCCACGGGGGCCGTGTGTGTCCGCTCGAGGGAGGTGCACGGCTCTCACCAACTCTGCTTCTGGCCTGACCAGGATGTGCTGTATTGTACTGTTTGTGGGTGCTACTCTACCAGCCAGTTGAGAGAACTGGCAACTGAATGCTCGTATAAATTAGCCAAGGCGGGAGCTCAGAACCTCAGTAGAATATGTCGAGGGCTCCTGCCTGGATCGTGCGTTTGGGGTAGGGAGCGGCAGGAGAGGAGGGAGAGAGGGAGCGGGCAAAGAGGGGAGAGCGCCGCGGCCGTGGCCCGCCGCGCCGCGTTCAACTCGGACGTGGCGGTGGGCGCTGCCAGGCGCCGCCCCGCCTCCGCCCCCCCCCGACCCTCCGCCGCCGCCGCTCGTCCTTGATTCGAACTTCGGTCATCGAGACCTTGCCCTATATATATATATATATATATATATATATATACTCCTCCTCCTCCTCCTCTCCTCCTCTCATCATCATCAGCATCATCATCATCCTCCTCCCCCTCCTCCTCCTCCTCTCCTCCTCCTCCTCCCTCCTCCTCCTCCTCCTCTCCTCTCTCCTTTCCTCCTCGTCCATTCATCATCATAATCATCATCATCATCATCATCATCATCATCATCATCCCATCACATCCTCCTCCTCCTCCTCCCTCCTCCCCTCCTCCTCCTCCGCCTCCTCCTCCTCCTCCTCCTCCTCCTCCTACTCCTCCTCCTCCTCCTCCTCCTCCTCCTCCTCCTCCTCCTCCTCCTCCTCCTCCTCCTCCTCCTCATCCTCTTCCGCCGTGGAGGAACCACGGGGTTCCGAGTGAACACGGGCACCAGGCGCTGGGGCTCTCCCCAAGCCCCATTGCTCCATCCCGAGCCGCTCCTCGACGGCCTCGGGGGCCTGCGAGCTGCCGCGGTGGCGCCAGGAACGGCAACGGACCTCCAGGACCCCTTTCTCGGGGAGTTGCTAAAGATGTCCCTGGCCCAAGGTACCCATACCTGTTTGCTTCATTTTGGAGCCCCTGGGACCCCCTGGGCCTCGCGAGGGGTGCTCTGGAGGCCGTGGGGGCCTCCTTGGAAATCCTGGGGGGCGCCTTGGGCCAGGGGCACTTCTGGGAACACCCGACCTGAGCCGCCTCCGACCGCGGCGTGGCTCCGCGCCGCTGCGGGCAACGAACAGGCCAGAAGAGCGCCGCTCGCCTTCCGGACCGAGCCCGTCGCTCAGCGGCGGCGGACGCGGCCTCCTCTCCTCCTTCGGCCTCCACCTTCCGCGGCGGCGCCTGCTGCCACCGAGGAGATGCGGCGGTGGAGACCGAGGATCGTCGTCGCGCCCGCGTCGCCCGCCGCTGGTGCCGCGGCCGCGGCTTTTCGGCGGCGGAGCCGGAGGCGGCTACCCATGGGCGTGTTCGCCCTGCTCAGGGCCCCGGGACCTTCACGGATCGATCCGCCCCGAAAAGCGCCGCAGAACGGTGGGGCACGGGGCTTTTTGGGGGCATGACTTTTGACGATGTTGCAGCTGTTCGCTTCGCCGGATCTCAGGAGAGGCCCGGGCGGGCCTGCTCTCACCCGAGGCGGCGAGGGTGCAGAGGGCGCTGCGCTCCGAAGGGCGGAGGCGGGAGGGCACGGCACGGGAGCGGCAGAGGGAGTCCCGCAGGGGTCGTGCGGGTTCGCCGCGGGAGCGGCAGAGGCACGGAGGCAGACACGGGAAGGGAGTTCTACACGCGACCATCCAAACGTAGCTTGGAACACTGCTGGAGAAGCAGGGGGGGAGGGGGACGAGGGAGGGAGGGAGGAGGAGGACGACGACGACGAAGGGGGGAGAAGGGAAAGAAGGAAGAGGAGGAGGAGGGGGACCAAGAGCAAATCCAAGAGGCGTTACCGATGCTGCAATACAGTGGGGGCGCGCATCAAGAAACCATATGCTTTTCGTCAGGGTATCCTGGGTTTCTTCCCTCCTCGCGCTGCGCGGTGACTTCCCGCAGCCCTTGAATGAGCTGCTGCGTTCAGGGTGCTCCAGGTTTCCCCTCAGGTGCACCTCGCGCACGGGTTCTCAGGCTTGGGTTTCTTGCGAGGCTTTCTTGCGGCCGCGCCCGCACGGTACGCCCACCCGTCCCAAGTCCCCTCCTCGCACGCGCCTGCAAGGATTCCTCGTCACGGCGGGAAGTGGTCCCTCGAGAGACGAGCGCCCCATGGTCCCGCGATTCCCGCGATGGCCTCCTCATCCCTCTCCTCCTGTTCTTCGTCGTCCTCCTCCTCTTCCTCCTCCTCCTGCTCCTCCTCTTCATGCTCCTCCTCATGATCCTGCTCCTGCTCCTCCTCCTGCTGCTCCTCCTCATCATCGTCATCCTCATGCTCATCCTCTTCTCCCTCCCTCCTCCCTCCTCCTCCTCCTCCTGCTCCTCCTCCTCATGATCCTGCTCCTGCTCCTTCGCCTGCTCCTCGTGCTGCTGCTCCTCCTCCTCCTCCTCCTCCTCCTCCTCCTCCTCCTCCTTATCATCATCATCATCGTCCTTTTCTCCCTCCCTCTCCCTCCCTCTCCTCCTCCTCATCCTCCCCCTCCTCTTCCTCCTCCTCCTCCTCCTCCTGCTCCTCCTCCTCCTCATCATCATCATCATCATCATCCTCCCCCGAAAGGGCGGCGGCGGGCCTAGGGACTCGCGCGCGGGCCGACCCAAGCCGCGCGCCCCCCCAGGCGCTCGAGCAGCTGGCCTCAGCCGAGCTGCGCGCGGCTGTGCTGCTGCTGCTGGGACCCCCCCCCTTCCCCGGCGCGCCACGCGGGGGCCCAGCGCAGGAGGAGGAGGAGGAGGAGGAGGACTCAGCACTGCTGCCCCTGCATTCCGTGCCGCACTCGCAGTGCGAGCGCTTGCGGTGTTCCAGCTCAGCGGATCAGACTCGTAGCTTCGCGCTGCTTATTCCCCCTCGTGGCGCCGCCATTGCTGCAGCTCTCGAGTGCGCTGTGGGCGAGTTGGCGGCGATGTTTCAGGTCAATCCATAAACGGCGCCGTGCCTGCACGGCAGATCCTCTAAAGCAGTGCCGTTGTCCGGAAGCATGTGTCCGCCGTGGCACAAAGTGAAGATTGTTCAGACTCGGATGTCTTAGCGTGACAGGAGGGAAACATAATACAGTTATAGGTTACTCAGGGAAGCATCGGACGGTGATGAGTAGGACGACGTCGAAAGGAGGGGATCGGTCTGCACTCCTCCTTGAGGGCTCTTCCTGTTCTGCCGGTCTAAGCAGCAGAAAGGGAGATGGAGAGAGTGAGAGAGAGAGAAAGAAAGAGAGAGAGAGAGAGAGTCCTGAGCGCCCCCTCGCGGTCAAAACGGAATACGCGTAGTGACTTATGAGGAGTGGACACGGGACGAAAGGTTTTTTTGCAGCAGCGCTGATGCATTTTTGGTCCATTATCCTTCTCCTCGTCGGTCCTCCGCCTCTCCCGTTGCTGCTCCTGCGGTAGACGGAGACCGACCTTCGGAAATTTAACAGGGAAGGGCGGAATAGGATGCAGGTTTGGGGGGAGCCACTCTGGTGCCCAGGATACCTTGGGTGCATCGGGCAAATCAGACAGCCGCCGGGGTAGTACGAGCTGGAGGAAGGGGAGGATAGGGAGGAGGAGTTGGAGCAGGGGGAGGATCAGGGGAGGAGGGGGACCAGCGCAAACCCAAGACTCATCAACGGTGCTGCAATCAACCCTCCCTCCAAGTTCCCTCTTCACATGTCCCTAGAAGTATTCATTTCCACTGCAGGAAGTGATCGCCCCCGCGACTCATGCCTGAACCTCCCACCCCCCCGGTCGGATTTCTTTTCTTCCTTCCGCGGGGGGGTCTATTTTCGCGGCGACCCGTTAAACCCGGAAACCTTGGCGGCGCATGGACGTTTGTCCCTCAGCGCGCGCATGTCCATTGGAAACTCTGAACACTTCTGGCTAGAATGCACCTAGCACTTGAGTACCATTGGTACCATCATGAGGTAGCGCGCAGCTGCTCCTAGAGTGCACCTGGTCCTGGCCCTAGAGCAGCGTGCAAATAGTACCAGTACAACTCCTCGAGTGATGCTGCATGACATTTACACTGGGATCTCGCGATTCCCCTCCTCTGGTTGCGCTGGGGGAGGTGGGGCCCCGCGCGCCAGCACCCCCGCGGCTGAGAGTTCACCCCCCTTCCGGAATTTGAAGCAGGGGCAACTTTCGTGCCCGAATTCCTCGCCAAGGATTTATTTCCTGCTTCCGCGGAAGCCTGACCCCCTGGGTTCCTCGGCGCTCCCCGGGAATGTTTTTCTTCCGGATGACCCCCCACGGATGATCGGAAGTGCCCCGTTGGAAGGCAACCGTTCGAACATTTTGAAACGCGCCAGAACACCGTTTTGGGGATTTCACCGCCGCGAACCAACATCATTGCTGCGGCCTGACGACCCTGAATCGTGCCAGAACTCCATTCTCGGCACGTCAACACTGCGAATCATCGCAACTGCTGTGCCCTGGCAGCATTACATCACACCAAAACACAGGACGTCAGCCATAATATTCCTTCAAAATTATGTAAACTCCTGAGGCGGATGTGCGCGGCGCTATGGCGAGAGCAACGTTTTGAAAAGGAGCCTTGTTCATCTGTGGAACTCCCGCAAGCTTCTAAGACGATGGTGCGCGGCGCTAAGGCAAAAGCCACATGTGGAAAACCGTCCGCCCTCCATGTGTGAAACTGTTGCAACATTGTGAGACGAATGCGCGCAGCGCTGAGGCGAGAGGCACATGTTAATATAACCGCCCTCCATCCGCGAAAGTCTTGCAAGTGTTTGAAACGAACGTGCGCAGCGCGAAGGCGAGAGCCACATATTGAAAACCACCCGCGCTCCATCCGTAAAGCTGCTGCAAATTTAAGCTTGAGGGCCATAAATGGTGAGGAAGTCTCAGGCGAATCGCCCGACCCGCCCGACAGACGCGTCTCGGGGTGCGCCATGGTGGAGTTATTCTTAAGGAAAATGGATGGACGTGGAGGAGGGGGAGGAGTTGGATAAGGAGGGTTGGAGGAGGAGGAGCACGGCTCGTGAGACACGACGGCTTTAGCGTTCAACGCGGGGGCATCATTATTGATGGAGGAGGGGGATTTGGCATAGCGGAGTTGCAGGAGGAGGAGGAGGAGGAGGAGGAGGAGGAGGAGGAGGAGGAGGGGGGGGAGAAGGAGGAGGAGGAGGAGGA